TACGTATATTGTATTTTTTCAAATTCATTACAGTATATTTTTTCCCCAAAAATCTGAAAACCGCTGCACAAATACTATGTAAAATAAAAAATTGCATTGATCACCATTTCATTCTCTAGGGTCTTTGCTACAAATATATATATACAGTTGTGTTCAAAATAATAGCAGTGTGTTGAAAAAAGTGAATAAAGCTCAAAATCCTTCTAATAGCTTTTATTTCCATACACACAAATGCATTGGGAACACTACACATTCTATTCCAAATCAAAACATGAAAAAAAAATATATCAAATTTGTGTTTTTTCTCTAAAAAATTGAAGAAAAGTGAATATTAGACTGTTCAAAAAAATAGCAGTGTTTGTATTCTTCTTTACAAACTCAAACATTCACTATATAAACTGAAAAATGTTTGAAGATTTTGCTTTCCTTTGAATCACTTAATGAATATTTTGTTGTATAAGCACTGTTTCTGAGAACTGCTGTACATCTGTGTTGCATGGAGTCAACCAACTTCTGGCACCTGTGAACAAGTATTCCAGCCCAGGATGATTGGACTGCATTCCAGAGTTCTTCTCTATTTCTTGGTTTTGCCTCAGAAACTGCATTTTTGATGTCACCTCACAAGTTTTCTATTGGATTAAGATCCGGGGATTGGGCTGGCCACTTCATAACATCAATCTTGTTGGTCTGGAACCAAGATATTGCACGTTTACTGGTGTGTTTGGGGTCGTTGTCTTGTTGAAACACCCATTTCAAGGGCATTTCCTCTTCAGCATAAGGCAGCATGACCTCTTCAAGTATTCTGATGTATTCAAACTGATCCATGATCCCTGGTATGTGATAAATAGGTCCAACACCGTAGTATGAGAAACATCCCCATATCATGATGCTTGCACCACCATGCTTCATTGTCTTCACAGTGTACTGTGGCTTGAATTCAGTGTTTGGGGGTCGTCTGACAAACTGTCTCCGGCCACTAGACCCAAAAAGAACAATCTTACTTTCATCAGTCCACAAAATGTTGCGCCATTTCTCTTTAGGCCAGTCAGTGTGCTCTTTGGCAAATTGTAACCTCTTCAGCACATGTCATTTTTTCAACAGTGGGACTTTCCGGGGGCTTCTTGCAGATAGCTTGGCTTCACATAGGCGTCTTCTAATTGTAACAGTACTCACAGGTAACTTTAGCCCTTCTTTGATCTTCCTGGAGCTGATTGTTGGCTGAGTCCTTGCCATTTTGGCTATTCTCTTGGTTATCCATTCGAATGATAGTTTTTCGCTTTCTTCCACGTCTTTCAGGTTTTGGTTGCCATTTTAAAGCATTTGCGATCATTTTAGCTGAGCAGCCTATCATTTTCTGCACTTCTTTATATGTTTTCCCCTCTCCAATCAACTTTTTAATCAAGGTATGCTGTTCTTCTGAACAATGTCTGGAACGACCCATTTTCCTCAGAATTTCAGACAGAAATGCACTGTAACCAGAATGTACAACATTTTCTGCCTTCCTTCCTTAAATAAGGGCAATAATTGCCACCTGTTTTTCAAAGAATGAATGACCTCACTAATAGAACTCCACACTGCTATTATTTTGAACAGGCCCCTTTCAATTAGTGATTCAATTACACAGAATCAGCAGCATGCATGTCATGACTGTTGGGTCTGTTGGATTTCTATTATTCTACTACACCTGCTAGTAAATTATTTGCCATGTAGAAATATTTCTACCAAAAACAGTGATTGATCAGGTTAGTGATGTCTGACTGCTATTATTTTGACCACAACTGTATGTATGTATATATATATATATATAAACTGTATATATATATATATATATATATATATATATATATAAAATGTTTGGGGTTATAAGTAATTTTATAGCAAAAAATACTGATTTAAACTTGTAAACAAAAAGTGCCAGAAAAATATATATATTGTACATTACATAAGTCCCTAACCCTGTGCCCCCTTACACTTAAAGTACCCCCTTTACATCATATTTCCCATCAGAGTGCCCCTTTACATCATATTCCCGATCAGAGTGCCCCTTTACATCATATTCCCGATCAGAGTGCCCCTTTACATCATATTCCCAATCAGAGTGCCCCTTTCCACAGTATTTATTTATTATAGGTACTTATATAGCGCTGTCAATTTACGCAGTGCTTCACATATATATATTGTACATTACATCAATCCCTAACCCTCAAGGAGCGTACAATCTAAGGTACCTAACTTACATTCATACATACTAGGACCAAATTAGACAGGATCCAATTAACCTACCAGCGGGTCTTTGGAGTATACTTTTGTATTCAGGTGAAAATGAAAACTGAACCCAATAAAACTAAGCCTTTTGGAATCTTTCATCTTGCTATCTGAGTGACTTGGTGAGGTCCCCTATTCTCATAACGTTCTTGACCTCCACAACCCCATGGCCTTGTTATTAGCCAACATGCATGCTCTGGCAGCATTTCATAAATAGATCACAGAAAGTCTCTGAATTGTTTTTTGGAGAAGGGACTGAGATGGAGGAGACAAACTGCAGATTTGTAAGTTTAGGATTTCCCTGTGAGTTCCTGTATCAGTTTTTCATACCTCCCTCCACAAGGGCTGTATTAGTGGGCAAGACCAAGAGAAGTGAAATGGGGAACCCTCGGATTACTCACAATTTTAAAAGTTAGGGGTGGCTGAAGGAAACCTCTGATGATGTCTCGCAGGGACTCTATATCATCTTGTCGATAATTTGTATCCAGATTCCCATCTGCTAGTAATAGAAGATTTAGGTACAAGATACAGCATGTAATCTTGTGAATCTTTAGTGAGTTCTCGCTTAAAGTAGATCTATCATCATTTTTATTTAACAGTTTTGACCTCTATGGGACAAAGTACTACTTTATCACTGGATTCTAAAAGATTACTTGTAAAGAGGTTTGACCTACCCCCCCCCCCCCCCAGCCCTCCTGACGCAGCTGATCTGACAACAGTTTGGAAGGAGACGGTTGAATCATAGCTGCAGTTTGTCTTGACTGTGAACACTTTCCAGAGATAAGCAATGGCAAGAGGAATGCAGAGGCTCTTAGGAAAGTGTTTACAGCCAAGACTATCTTCAGCTCTATTGTAATGGCAACTTTGGGAATTCCAGGTAAAACTCCGGACATGAACTTGAGGAAAACAAACTTTTTATTTACCAGTGCTGGTTGACTTAGCAAGGACTCGTGTCTGCAAGCTAAGTGCCTTGAAAAGCATCTTACAGGGTATACATATCAGCAATTACATCACAATGCATATATTTCCTCTTTCACTTTCTGTACATTTAAAAGACTTTCTAAGCAGTGCAGAATATGGCCTTGCTAGATAAAGTATCTTCAGCTGAAAATAACGGTGCCAGCTAGAGACTGGAACACATTCTTTCACAGGAAATAAGGAAGGGGGGGGGGGGGGGGGGGTGAGCTGAGCTGTTGACCTTGTTTTGTAAACAGCTGCTGTTAGAAATGTTAAAACTTAAGGGGAACTCTACAATATTTGGATGCTGCCACACTATGAATCAGCAGTCTCCTTCTTAGCTGTTGTCAGATCGGCCATAGCAGGAGGGGTGGAAGGTACCTTAGGTTGCTCTCCTGACTTGGACTACAGAACACCTTCCTTCCTTCGCCATACATACAAAGGAGAGGTTATGTAGCTCACTTAACCACCTCCCGCCCGCCATATAGTACAATGATGGGCGCAAGGTGGTTCTCTCGTTCTGGGAGGACGTCATATGACGTCGTCCCATTCTACCCACGCAGCACGGCGATCGGTGGTGCATTGTGTCCCTCGGACACAGCGGATCACTGATCAACGGAAAGAACCGAAGATGTCGGCTCGGTCATGTGATCAGCTGTGCCCAATCACAGCTGATCTCATGTAAACAGGGAAATGCTGGTTATCGGCATTTCTCTCCTCATGAGCTGTCACACTGACAGCTCGAGAGGAGAGCAGAGCTGGTAATTGGCATTCCTCGGAGGGGACATGTACAATGATCATCAGGGCACTGATGATCAGTGTGCCCTGATGATTTGTGTAGCCCTAGCAGTGCCACCTGTCAGTGTCCATCAGTGCTCATCCATGCCACCTGCCAGTGCCACATATCAATGCCTACCAGTGCACATCAATAACACATATCAGTGCCCATCTGAGCTGCCTTTCAGTATCACCCATTAGTGCCAGTCAGTGCCGCCTATCAGTGTGCATCAGTGCTGCCTATCAGTGCCCGTCAGTGCTGCCTATTGGTGGCGCCTATCAGTGCCATATATGAGTGCTGCCTTTCAGTGCCCATCAGTGATGCCTGTCAATGCCCATCAGTGCCACCTACCAGTGCCTCCTCATTAGTGCCCATCAGTGCCACTTATCAGTGTCCATCAGTGCAGCCTCATTCGCACACATCAGTGAAGGAGAAAAATCACTTATTTACAAAATTTTATAACAAAAACTAAGAAAAAAACATTTTTTTTTCAAAATTTTCAGTGGTTTTTGGTTTGTTTAACCTCCCTAGCGGTATGATTATTTCAGATTTTTGGTGCTGAAAGCAGTACCATTATTTTGCATGGAAATATGTAGTTTTTTTTATTGTAGGCTGTAATATTTAGGAATAACTCACTGAAATCTGTCCGAACAAGAGTCTATTAAACATCCCGGGTATGATGAAATTTGAAACACGAAATCATAAATTATAATTTAATAAATAATCATAAACAATAATAATATAATAATAATACATTTAATTCAATAATATAATCAAACCGAAAACACTGAAATTTGAAATAGAGCGCCAAGTTCGTACATTGCTGAGCGAAGTCGCAAAATCGTTTTCAGTGTCTGATGACGAATTTCCCCCACGAATCATTATCACTCAATTCTGCAAGTGGTTCTGATTTACTATCGCTGTTCTCTAGCTGATCTAAACCCACTTTTGACCTAAAGGGACACTTTTTGGACGCCATGGACGTTTCTCAGTTTCCAGGCAGAAAGAACTGACAAAATGCAGGCAGGGCACAGGACAAAGCACTAGGGACAATATGTATGTGAAATGGGTTGAAACAGCAATGTTTTACTATGAAAAATTTGTTTTGAAAAAAAATGACATTTTTTAAAATTTTCAAATTTCCCGCCGCCGGAGGCGCCCGTACATCCCGACGTCACAGGGACCGGAACACAGAAGCCGGATGCCGGCAACGGCCAGAGGAGATGGCCGGGGACGCTGCAGGGGACACATCATGGGAGCGAAGGACAAGGTAAGCGCTGCAGGGACTCCCTATGCAGCGCCGCATGGTAAGCCTGAGTGTAGCTCGGGGTTACTGCTTTTGGCACTGACATTTTACCCCGAGCTACACTCGGGAATACGCTAGGGAAGTTAAGAAAAAATAAAAACCCAGAGGTGATTAAATATCACCCAAAATAAAGCTCTATCTGTCTAAAATAAATGATAAAAATTTCATATGGGTACAGTGTTGCATGACCGCGCAATTGTCATTCAAAGTGCAACAGCTCTGAAAGCTGGAAATTGGCCTGGGCAGGAAGGGGGTATAAGTGCCCTGTAGGCGAGTGGTTAATTAGCTGTAAAGGTTGTTTGAGATTTCAGCTCAGTGCACATGAAGTTACAACAGACTTCTAACAGGATCAACAGCTATTTTTCTTTACTTGCAAGCCCCCTCCTTCTAACTGGCTCCCCCATACAGAATCTGGAGGTGCTTCTTTCCATCTCCGCTTGTCAAATTTGAAATTGGCATGGATGTGCTTGGCTCTGTCCGCAGAGCCATGTCATTTATTCTGAGAAATATGTGAATGTACAAAAATACGAGTCCAGGGGGGCTGTGCTGCTACCTGCTATGTGCAATAGCAACAGTGTCAGAATGCCCGCCGCAGTCCCGCTGTAAGTTGCTGATTGCCGCCATTACTAGTAATAGAAAAAAAAATCCAGTATCTATACCGCCATTTGTAAACGCTATAATTTTCACGTACACCAATTAATTTACATGTATTGGGATTTTTTTTTAGCAAAGACATGTCACAGAATACATTTTGGCGTACATTCATGAGGAAATTTGATTTTTAAATTTCTTTACTGGGCATGTTTTATAGCAAAAAGTCAAAAAAAAATATATATATTTTTTCAAAATTGTCATCTTTTTTGTTTATAGCACAAAAAATAAAAAATGCACAGGCGATCAAATACCACTGAAAGAAAGCTCTATTTGTGGTAAAAAAGGACGTAAATTTAATTGGTGTGCAGCGTCGCATGACCGCGCAATTGTCAGTTAAAGTAATGCAGCGCCGTATTGCAAAAAATTGCCAGGTCAGGCGGAGAGGGGGGGGGGGGGGGGTAAATCCTCAGGTGGGCAAGTAATTAGTAAATCCCCCCATCACCTCCTCACCACTTGTCAAATGCCTTTAAACGTGATTTACCATGGATCGCATTTTTAGTGGGGGCAACAAGCGCACATGTAAAGAGTGAATATGCGAGCGCTATCCAAAAGAAAAAATAGCCGCTGAAACACCAAAAAAGGTAACCAAGCAGAACCTTCCAATGTAAATCTCAATATAAAGGTGCAGCGCTAAACACTAAATATACAGCATAAATCTCGTCAATAGATTAGATTAAAAGAAAATGAGAAAATGCAGTCTCTTTAAAATAATGCAGCATGAGAAAGTTAATAACGTGCTCAGTACATAGGTATAGATTTCCAGCAATATTAGATCGGTCGCGGGAATAAACCAATATAAACCAATATAAAATGTACAAAATAAATAAATAAATAAATAAAAATTTGTGCATAAATGATGTCACCAATCGGTGAATAAAGTGCAAAAAAGTCCCAGATGTATTGCCCACGTGAGGATCCTGAATGATCCTGATAAGTGTGCGTGGAGTGTTACTTCCAATGGCAGATGTTCAATATGAATGAAATGCGCACTCACCAGAAGTAGGGATCTCTCTAGTTCCCTAAGGTATCACACAATGTGGTCTCCTTTATTGGTCCCTATTTTGTGAGGGGCATTCACAGAGACCGCACTATGGGTGAGCCCCTAAGGTGATACGCATCAAGGATCCCTGAGTGCTGCATGCAGATGTGACTGGGAGTATCCTGACCTGGCCTGACCTGATCTGGGAGGTGGATGACCTGAATCATACCTATTGAGATAGGTTATATCTCAAATGCGTTTATATACGCACTTCTGGTGAGTGCGCATTTCATTCATATTGAACACCTGCCACTGGAAGTAACCTTCCACGCACGCTTATCAGGATCATTCAGGATCCTCACGTGGGCAATACATCTGGGACTTTTTTGCACTTTATTCACCGATTGGTGACATAATTTATGCACAAATTTTTATTTATTTATTTTGTACATTTTATATTGGTTTATATTGGTTTATTCCCGCGAACGATCTAATATTGCTGGAAATCTATACCTATGTACTGAGCACGTTATTAACTTTCTCATGTTGCACTATTTTAAAGAGACTGCATTTTCTCAACAAGCACACATGTGAATGAGATTTTAAAGCACATACCAGAATGTTATGTTTTGTTTTAGTCTAGTGTCACTTTAAGCCTCCAGCATCTCTTTTTATTAGGACAGGATTAGTGGCTGATGTTGCACTACTGCCCTCAGCAACCACAACAAACATGGCGGCGCTGCCTCTTGCAATCCGCTGACGTCCGTGGCCCCGCCTCTCTGGTCCCTGTCTGGGGCGGGGCTGCGGTTCCCGGCTTAGCTGGATAGCGGGGTGGTTGTAGAAGGCTGGAGAGCGGAGCGGTGCGGGTGTGTGGATGAGGACGGTCGGCTGCAGGCATGGAGTGTGTGTCACCCTAGGGGGGGATCGGGCACAGGTACGGTCAGTGTATGTCTATGTGTGTGTACACTCAGCCCATCAGATGACAGCGCCGCTCTATGGCGATCGGTGACCCCCTCCTCCTCCCTGGAGGGCCCTGGGGAGATCTGCGCTGACTCGCTCCATACATCTGGCTGCACATCACAGAGCACAGCCTGGAGGGGGCATCACAGGGGGAGCGCTGACTACAGCTTCCTCCACACTGGGAGCCTGCTGTGATCTCCGTGCCGGGATCACACTGTCAGCCACGTACAGAGATCTGCTCCTTGGGCTCCAAAATCCTTAAAGGGACCGTCCACCTGGAGGGGATTGCAGCTGCAAATATGTGCAGGGATCACAAAACTGGAATGGGCTGCAGGAGCAACATGGTGGTGAGTACGGCACCTGGTAGGTGATCCCTCCTGCACTGCGCTGGCACCCACATCTTCTCCACCACTCTATGGCCGTGACCACCTCACTCCCGCAAACAGGATTCTGAGCTGTGCATGCGTGGCTCAATGTAGGCAAACCCTGACGGTAGGGGGGGGATGGGGTTAGGTCCAAGAGGCTAGATTTAGACCTACCACTTCTCCAAAGAGCGAGCCACATTTTGATTGCTTTTCAGAAGGTGTGCAATGCCTCCTCACCACCTCTTTTAACCCCATTTGTTTGCCGGCAAATGCGCCACAAACGCATGCGTTGTGTATCATAAACAATCACAAATTTATATATATAATTCATTTTTTTTGCAGTTGTTTGTTACACAAAGCATGCGTTTGTGGTGCATTTGCCGATAAAAAAAAAGTGTGTATATATATATATATATTTGTGATTTGTTTATGGTACACGAAGCATGCACTTGTGCATTTGCCGGCAAAAAAAAAAAAAAGTGTGTATATGTATGTGTGTGTGTGTATGTATGTATATATATATATATATATATTATATATCATTTGCGATTGTTTTATGGTATGCAAAGCATGCATTTGTTTTGCAATTGCCAGCAAAAAAAAATAAAATTAAAAAAATATATATAATATTATTTATATATATATATATATTTTTTTTTTTTTTCTTTTAAATTTTTCCTGGCAAATGCGCCACAAATGCATGCTTTGTGTACCATAAACAATCGCAAATTATATATATATATATATATATATATATATATATATATATATATATTATATATATATATATATACATACATTTTTTTTTTTTCTTTGCCGGCAAATGCACCACAAACGCATGCTTTGTGTAAAATAACTGCAAAAAAAAAAGACAGATAGATAGATATATATATATATATATATATATATATTTTTTAATTTTTACAACTCAGCACTGCTGACCTCAGCCAGCTTTGTTTCGGCCACTTCCTGATTATCTGCAAGCTGCAGCTTTAAAGTGATTATTAAAGGCTGAATTTTTATTTTTTTAAAAATAACATGTCACACTTACCTGCTCTGTGTGATAGTCTTGCACAGAACAGCCGCAATGCTCCTCTTCTTAGGTTTCCTGCTGGCACTCCTGGCTCCGCCTTCTGCTGAGTGCCCCCATAGCAAGCCTTTTGCTATGGGGGCACTCGTGTGCGTGCTCGCTCCCTAGCCAGCTCTGTGTGTCCATTGATACACAGAGCAGGGCTTGGGCCCATCTCCTCACTGGCTGCGATTTGACAGCAGCGGGGGCCAGTGGCTTCTGCTGCTGTGCCTCAGCCAATGAGGAGGGAGAGCGCTGGGAGAGTCGCTGCTGAAGTGCACAGCACTGGATTGAGTTCAGGCTCAGGTAAGTATTAGGGGTGGCTGTGGGGGAAGCTGCACACTGATCCTGGGTTCACACTGATGCGTTGCAGAATTTGCAGCAGTTTCTGTGCAAATTCTGAACCGCATCACAGTCTCACCCCGTCCATGCAAACCACTGCGGGTGTGTATGTTAGCAACACCCTGAAATCGATTCGCAAAATGCAGTGCGATGTGCAGAATCGGATCGCATAGTTGTGAATACCATTGTGATCCAATTCTAGTGCGGACCAAAAAAAGGGGTCCTGCACCTTTTTGATGCGGTGCGATTGGAGCCATACAAAATGTTTGGTTCAAATTACACCCCACAGACTTCGCGTGTGGTTTGCACAGGAATGCAGTGCAGTTCCTGTGCGAATCACATGTGATATACTGCACCGCATACATGTGAACCCAGGCTGAAGGATTTTACCTTCATAGAATGCACAAAGGTAAAAACGCTGTCAGCCTTCACAACCCCTTTAATAAGAATGTTGGGTCTCCAGTCTCTGCAATGGCTTGGTTATCCTTGGTGACTGTATCCTACCATTGTATTTCTCATTTGCCCCCAACCTTTCCAGCCACTTATCTTCTCCAATTGGTTCTTCTCATAATACACTCTATTGCCAAATGGTTGTGAACAACTGACCATTGCTTCTACTGGAGCTTTTTGGATATCACATTTCAATTGTGGACATTAACATGAGGTTGTCCTCCTTT